TCGTCGACATAATTAAAGTGATCCTGATGTTTTTTGACATGGTTTTTTCGATCACCACAAACGATTACAGAGTTGGTTTAATTTTCCTTACACTCACCAATTATGTTTTATTTGGGATTCGACTGGCTAGAAAAAGTAAACAGTGAACTTGACCGGCTATTTGTGTAAAAATCCCTTTACTTATCCTGCATATTCTTCGCTTTAGTACTTCAGTTGGTCATCAATCCTTATAAAAAAAATATAATACCCTATGGTTTGCAAGGAAAGTGAAATGTTTTAGAATTTTCATTCCTTGGATATGAAGTATTATAAGGATCATGAACATTAATACAGGAATGTCTGGAAAACAGAGAAGCAACCCTTTATTCCCTAACTGAATAAAGTGTTAATATTTGTTGCTTTTTTCACATTTTCCACAAATAAAGGCAAGTGGGGTGTAAGTAAGCTTTTCTTTTTGTACCTCCAATTAGTAACCAAACTTTAGTAACTTTTGCTAAAGAAGATATGTACTGTAATCTCTTTCTACAGCAGCCTATGCATATATTCGTCCTAGAATAATGTCACTTGTGTATCCTTTTGTTGGTGAGAGACATAATCATCAATTCAGTCGCAAAACCAGGAATTTCACGAATAGTGTTCAAGATTTATATACGCATAAAAAATAATTTTTGATCTATATACGTGATATAAGTTTCTATATACATAGTATATTTTTCGATTAAGGGTGTTCAGTTGATCAACCTTCCATGAATGTGGTTATGCCATTGGTCATAATTATGTATAACCAGCCTTTAGAACTAAGTTTGTGTTTGGCTAATCAATTTGGAAAATATATTTTTTTAATATATTAGAGCAGAAACTTATTTTGACCAAGGTTCCATAAATGCGTTAGGAGAAGCTACTTTTTTCAACTTCTAGAAAACAATTTTCACTGTTACCGGAAAACACTTATTTTTTCCTCAAAGCTTGGTGGAACTACTCAATTTTCTAAAATAACTCACTTTTAAAAAAAAATACACTTTCGACATTCCATGGGTCATGTGTTCCAGGTGTGGAAGCAGCCATTAATGCTTGCATTAAGGTAGGTTGTCTACGTCACACCCCTTGGGGTGCGGCCATTACGTGAACGTAGAATGCCTTGTGCAGCGCGCTGCCCTTTATTACATTTTCGGCTTCGCAGAAACTTGGCCAAACAGGCTTATTATTGAAGCAATCAATAGGGGACATGATATTTGCATCACTTTTGAATGGCTTATCTCAGACTTTCCACAAATATACAGGGATGGGTTTACTTGGGGGGCAATCCATTCTCATTTTTGTTTTCTAAAGGGAAGATCTACACACACAACACACACATAATTTATACATAGAATAGAAGTATAAGAAATCAGGACTATATAACTGGTTTAACTAGAGCTGCATGCCAATCTCATTCATCATACAAAATTAGCAAAAATTGAAACAAAGCAATTATGCAGAGCGATTTCAGTGCCAAATCAAGACGCAGATCAGCAGCTTACAAAGCTGCATCATCAGGAGGGGAATCTCTCACAGTATTACTCGATTTTTGGAGAGAAGAAGGCGTCGCACAGATTGATAATCGTGGCGACACCATCCTTCATTTTCTTGCTGTTAATGGTAACGTAGCTGGTTTCGGAATTCTTGATCCTTTGAGCATTAAAGATCTGGAAACTGCAAACAGCTGTGGAGATACACCGTTGCATGAAGCTGCCAGATTTGGTAATGTTGAAATGTGTGATCATTTCATCTATAGAGAAACCACATTTTTATATACTTAAATAATGTCCTCAGCATGCACCCTCATGTACGAACCTGGTTCCTTTTTCATGGCCCAAGCATACTCGAATCCAGGACCTCTACCTGCTATGTTAGACTGATACCGTGTTAAAGTGTTTGACCATCTCATTTAAAAGTGTAAACTGTTAAAAAGAGTACACTTTTTTTTACTTAATTATGTTTTTGACAGGTAAAAGGAATATGGTGGAGATGATTTTGAGAAAGGAGAAGGACTTAGTTTTTTTGCCCAACAATTTGGGAGAGACACCACTTTACGTAGCGGCTGCAAGTGGGGAGAAAGAAATCTTTACTCTTCTAGCAAATTTCGACTTCAATAAGCTCACCATGAAAAGGAATGATGGAAAAAATGTACTTCATGCAGCAGTAGCCCATGATTGTTATGGTAAGGTTTACATTGATGAACAAATTATTTCTTTTGGTTTGTCATCCGTTTTTCAATAGCCATTTTAGGGTCCCAACTAATTTGGATTCGTGCTGCGTAAGGTGCATTAAAGGGATAAGCGCTTCCACATTGATGGAGGGAATGGACAATATTGTCTCCTTATATTGTCTTAGGCAATTCATACCTCATAACTTTTGGGATTAAGTTAGGTCCAAGATCTGTCTTTTCAACATAATACGTGTTCTTGGTTTACCCAATGTTGAGCCCCTGAGAATGCTATCCACATACTAAATGTGTTAGTTCTTGGCGTGTGGAAGCGAAAGGGTGTGTGTTAAGTGTCCCACATTGTTTGAGAGAATGCGCTGTTAGCTGCACAGACTAATTGTTTTGTTGTTTAATGTCTGGCAGCTCTAGCAATTGATTTGGTGAATCTATATCCTGAACTTGTTAACGAACGCGATAATGAGGGAATGACAGCTTTGAATCTGTTGGCTACAAAAAGATTGTCATTCAGGAGTGGATCCAACTATTTGTTTGCAGAAATAGGGAAGACACCTTCTGTTCCAATTCAGATGATTGAAACCATAATCTATAATTGTAAGCTCAACTTAAGTGAACTACTAAACATTATAAAAGTGAAGTTACAAACTGCTTTTGTTACTTTAAAATAACTGAACTTTACTCATTATAACAGTAATTCTACATTTATGTGGTAGCAGGTATTCCACCGCGATATATAGAATCAAAACTTGGTGGTAACCAGACACAAACTGGCACTAAAATCATCCGCGTTGAGAGGTTGTCGTTTACCGAGTCTCTATTAGGTATCATCCATAATTTTGAATCTTCTAGGTTCAGCTGGCCGAAATGAATTTCTATATTGTATTAGTTCATGTGACCAGGAGGTCACGGGTTCGAGCCGTCGAAACAGTCTCTTGCAGAAATGCAGGGTAATGCTTCATACGATAGACTCTTGTGGTCCGACCCTTCCTCGGACCCCGCGCATAGCGGGAGATTTGTGCACCGGGCTGCCCTTTTTTAATTAATTCTTTTAAATAATATTGCATTAATTCTTGCATTATTGTATCTTGGTTTCTCTAGGTAATTCTTGGTTACAAGAAATCGATGAAGCAAAGCAAAAGCATATTCTTGCACTAATATTAGCAAAAATGTTAGTGAAAAATTATGATTGGAACTACAGTACACAGATGCCAAGTCCACTAATACAAGCGTCAAAACTTAAAGTCGACGAGTTAGTCGTCGAAATTGTGCAAATGCACCCTGAAGCTGTGGAAAACTTGGATGAATTAGGGAGGAACATAATGCATATAGCAGCAGAGCATAAAGACAGATTTCTATTTGATTACTTGCTCAAAACAGTGCCTAGCAGAAACAGAATGCTGGCAGATGTTGATCGACAAGGAAATACCATTTTGCATTATGCAGCAAATGTTGGGACACCATTTTTTACATCAACCACAGATCTTACTAAAAGTAATGTTGGTACACCATTTTCTACATCAACCACAGGTCATACTAAAAGTAATGTTGGTACACCATTTTTTACATCAACCACAGATCATACTAGAAGTATTTGCTGTGTTATGGCTGTGTTGATGATGATGTGGGGCATGCTTTGGTTTAACGTACGATTCTTTCCTCAATTCTTGTTGATAACTATGATGTCCGCGCCAGCTTGCATGCACCTTGACTAATTCTACGTGTTATAATTGTTCTTGCAGTATATAAAATACAACCTACATCCACGTCTTAGGGATGTTAAAAACTCCGATGGTTTAAAAGCAGAAGAGATATTCGAGAGAAACCATTTACGCGTAAGAAAAGAAGCAGAGACTTCAGTTAGAGAACTATCAAATTCTATGCTTGTACTCTCTACTCTCCTCTGTACCATCAACTTCGCCGCGATTTTCACTGTCCCCGGAGGTTTTGAAGAGAATACTGGCCTACCTATTCTCCTTGACAAAGTGCAGCAAGAACTGTGGATGCTGATGTTTTACTTAGGTGCAGCTCTTTTTAGTTCAGTATTCACAATGGGTACACTTCTATCATTTCTTCTTTGCAAATTCTATAGCAATGATTTTTACATTTCTTTGCCTACAAAGATCATAATTGCTATTATTTCAGTGTTTTATGCCACAGCATTTACAATCCTAGCTTGCCTTCAAGCCCTTAATCTTGAGAATATATTCTTGAACAAAGATGTTTGGTGGCTTATTATAGCTGTTGTTGCTGTTGGCTTCATTATGACACTTATTTATATAGACTTAGCATTTCCAGTCTTTGATTATATGTACTATTTGGTTTCTTATTCATTCTTTGTATCTTATAAGAAATGACATATGTAAGTTGATTAAGGTTTGGGCCATAATGTCTGTACTGCTTTGTGAGCTAAATATTATTCTTGTTGCATATACTGTTACAGTTGTTGCCCCTTCCTTTTATCTTTCCTGAGCCGAGGGTTTACCAGAAACAACCTCTTTGTCTTCTTAAAGATGAGGGTAAGGTTTACGTACACACCACTCTCTCTAGACCCCATTTGTGAGATATAATGGAATTTTAGTTGTTGTTGTTGTTTGCATATGCTATTACAGTCGGCAAAGTTTTGTGACTTTATTGTTATAACGAAGCATAGATGTGTTATATGGATTTCTTTTTTAATAAGTGTCCAATATTTAATCGCCGGGTGCGGGTAATAATTTCCCCAGATTTATACCTTCATAATCTAGGAAGTCTTAATTTTTTAAAGAAAATCCAGAAAGAATTAAAAAAGGTGAAAATATATCAAAAAATAAATCCATTCATTCACTAATTTCTTCTATACAACACCTATAATATTTTCCTCCCCTTTTCACCATTTCTTGGATAAACAATATGCTCTATCATCAAGATATTGGAAGATAAGACTACCCCAGAATATGTACACAAAAGAAACTATGATTCATTTAAGAAATCTAGTAGTGCAAACTTCACATGCAAACCTATCTTACCGCCCTCTGTAACAAGCTTAGCAGCGGTTACCAACCAATGTCCAGGAGTGTCATATGGCCCTCGTGCAACCTCAGCCGTATCTACATACTTGAGCAGCTTTGTTGATCGAACTGGTACCGGGGGTCCCTCTGGATATACGCCTGAATTAAGAGCAGCAGGATGCTGCTTTGGTGCAGCATCTGCCTTTGTTCGCTGAGTGAACGTAAAAGTTGTGCTGAGATTTGTCAAGAAACTTGACCTATGAGTACCCTCTGGTGTAGCTGCCCACTCTGTCTTTCGTACTGTGCAGTTGGGAAGATGGGAGAAAAGTAGACGCAGGTGAAGCACCGTCTTAGGCCACTTCCCTTTGCTGATAAGCTGTGCGCCAGTTACCACAAATACGCCACTAGTCTCGCCTTGCATCCAGCTTAGATCATGCTTAACTACAGATGAGCACACATTGGAATATCTCGGCCATCTGACCGGTTCTAAGAATTGGTCACTAGATTCATAATCATCGGACCCTCGCCACTGACATGGCTTGTGTAAGGTTGGGTTAGCAGATTTTGATGTCATAATGTTCGGTAAACTAGAAAGATGCTGTACATGTATAGCTAATTGGTTGAATTTTTTCCCTTCCAAATACAAGCGCAAACCAATGACCGGCTTTTCACCACTTGTAACCTACAAATTAGAAGAACATATCGGTCATCAGGTGCCATCATGTACATCAATCTTCAGAAGAGCGACATCTATCAGTTAAAAGAGATGAGTAGTAGGTATATGGTTGTAACTTAAAGATGGTTGCTCTAAAAGATTTTTGGATGGTTAAAAACTTTTCCATGTTCGAGTTTCCACTATCCAACCAATGCATTAGAAGCCATGGACAGACCAATATTTTGTTTAAAAAGCACATATAGTTTCAACTATTCTTATACTTGTAAAAAAGCAGGGGTCTTATTGCTAAGAAAGCAACACGAATAAGTACCTGAGTAGGGCTCACACAAATCTTTGGGCCGAATAAACAGAACTGCAATGCAGGGCAAGATGCCACTCTTCTTTGATGCCTAAGAGGCAGCTCACAGAATAATGGTGCCCACTGTGTAGGAACTTGAAACTCAAGGAAACACTGTAAATCCTCTAAAGCTGGCTTATCTGAGGATGAAACAAAATACAGATAACACTACCATCATCAGTAATGAGCATAAAATGAAAAAGAAAATACGACAGATGAGATAAATAAGTTGATGTGGTGAAATATGCTAAATACAATAGTAGAATTTATCAAGAAAACAAGTTCCTCAAAATGTGTCAAACATTCTTCTGTTCGTATAATTATTTCTTGTATAGGTAAGTTACTATGCTGAAAAGTCAAAGGGGATGTCAACGAGAGACTAATTGCAACACAAAAGAAATAGGCTCAGAATAACTGCAACAGAGCAAATTTCAATTGAAATTGTTGCCATGTCACTAGACAGCCTTGTTATAGCCACAGTACAATACTGCAGAGTAGGTAAAGCATCATATAGAAATACTACTAGTTCACTAAAGAAGGATCAGCTACGAAAGAAAATGATAAAAACTACTCTTAAAGATATGATAGTCAAAACGTATTCCGCTCTTCATGAACTTCGAAAAGAAAATATATACAGTGGAAAATCTCTACATTAACATTCAATAAGAAGAATTAGGTCAAAATGGAGTCCTGAAATCTTCGCAAATATCTAATCTGGACCTGCATGGACCAAATATGAGATCGTTGTAGGTTAAATCCAATTTCTTCTGATCAGGTGAGGTGGATGCAAAAAAAAAAGAGATTAAGATACCTTAGGGGTTATTCCTTGTACTTCCAATTTTGGACATTCAAGAACCAGGGGACTCATTATTATCCAAGCAATAGTTAAATAAGAAAAAGTTGACATCACCAATAACTACACTGTATGTACTACTTCGAAACAGCACCCATGTAAAACTTCAAGTTGCACCTAGTTCGTTCGTGTTGAACTATGAATCAGAAAACAAAATGAGACCTCCATTGCCTTTTTCAAAAAAAAGAAAAAGAACCATTTTTTCAACATATCAATACTAGCCCATCATGATCGTAAATCTAAAAAATATAATCTACCCAGACTCACTTGTGATCATGTTAGCTCAATTTTATACCACATTAAGGATATGCTTGATTAACTCTCTTATTTGGAAGACAAAGGTCTCACCTAAGCTAAGGTACTTGATTGTTCAGGGTCAAATTAGAACCAATCAACTATTACACTTCAGAAAGCTATACAAATCCCTAAACCCCAACTAAAACAATATCTGCAAGAACAATATAAAAAAAAAAATGCTATTTATTTTTATATAAAAAAGAGGTGATACACCTTATCTGACTATAGATCATTAAAGAGTGGGAAATATGGTTATTATCTATGAAAGACTACGAAAATACTTACATCGTAGATATAAATTTATTGCATGGCTGAGATAGCCACTCCCCGGAATTCCCGTTAAGAGTGAAGTAATGGGTACAAGTCTGAAGAGTATGCCATCAGGGTAAGCAGCCACGGACTGAAGCCACTTCGAGTGGCTCGGTGCAAACACATCACCACCTCTTTTTGACCAAATTATAGTGAGGCCCTGTTCCAGATTATCTGGTTAATACCTTATCATGACAAGCACTTCTTTTCATTTCAGAAAACAGAAGTTCGGAGAGAGACTTACATCCTTGCTTGACGTCTCTGTTATGCTGGTAAATTGCATGGTATGCGACTGCAACATGCGATTGAATACCTCCGGGGCCTATATAGTTGAAATAGAAAATCCATCTAAAACAATTGCCCCAACCTATGCGCATAAAATTTCGATGATACCCAAAGACAAATTAAGTGCCTACTTTAGTAAGTGTGAAATACCTTCTTTTTACTCTCTCTTGACTTCATCTCAGGCAGAGGACTTGTTCCGT